AAATGTGTTTGTGTTGATTCAGTTGGTGCTACAGTATTATAAGCTTTAACACAGTACTTATAAACGACACCTTATACATACTTTCCAACAACAACAAAAAACAACTTTTTTGCTGAATAATGCTTTATATTCTTTGAATTTCATTACATGTTTTATGAATATTATTTAAATTGCAAATTTATACAGTTAAAAACAAATATAATACTGTATAGCATGTATCATAAAACATTGGCATATAACCAAAAACATCGCAGTTCATGAAAATTCAACATTACGCTATCTTATTATGAGAGGAAGACTATGAACATGAGCCCCCCCATAATCCTTGAAACTTCACCTTTTTTATGAATGAAAATTCACGAAGCAGTTTTTTTCAGAGGTGAGGCACAGGTACACCTCACATTTGGTGCACTTCACCCTAACAATACCCTTACAGCCAGGATACTTGCATCTGCCTTTCTGAGACACCATGGTAGGCCAATGGTTGGTCTGGTCTAGTCGTACTGGCTGCGGTGGCAATGGGAAGGCAGGTCTCCGGTGTTTTTTCCCATCCAGAGCTGATTCAGTGCTCTGCGAGGGCCTACCTTTGCGCTTCAGCCCACCCTTGTTTTCTTTGCAAAGGCAGTGTGCAATGTCAATTTTAAAGTCAAGCAGACTGAGTTGTGCATTTTGTGTGAGCCCCACATCCTTGCAGTCTCTCCGGTAGAGCAGCCAGCTTTCCACCACGGTCATGTCCATCACAATGCGGTCAATGCGGTGGTACCACTTCTTTGAGCGGATTTTGGTGCGGTACAGAGCAATGAGAGAATCCACCCCACCCACCCCACCCATGCTTTCGTTGTAGAGTTGAATGATATTTGGACGCGTCACTGTAATGACCTCCTTCTTCTTCTTGTCCCACCGCTTCACAGTTGAGGTTGGAGTGGCTGCTGCAAATGTGCTTAGGAGGATAACTGGGCGGTTGTCGAACCATTTCACTGCTGTTAGTGCTGTACCGTCATGTGTGGTCTCTTTTTCTTCATATGTTCCACGTCTGTAGGTCCCTTGTCCCTTGTCCTCTGTGAAGGTGCATCCAGCAAGACGATTTTGTCTTACAGTTCCCACACTGTGGCTTTCTCACTTCTCAAGCTGCACCTGAAGATCAACACTACAAAACCAGTTGTCATAAAACATTCTGTGGGACATATACATCGGCACAATTGAGGCCAACTTCAAAACAATATTTCCGCTGGCACCCAGGTCTGGAAAGCCCTCCACTGCAGCGATTGGACCAGTGTAGAAATCAAAATTGTAGGCTATGCCATTCCCATCACACAGCACGAAGATCTTATAGCCCCAGCGCTTAGGCTTCATTGGAATGTACTGCTTCAGCTGGCTTTTACCTTTGAATGGTATAATCTGCTCATCAACACACAGGTGCTCATCCATTGGGATGTGATTAAAACTCTCCTGTAAAGCTGTTAGGAGTGGCCTTACTTTGAACAGCTTGTCATAACCTGGATGTCCAGCAGGCACCTATCCGTCGTTGTTGGCAAAGTGTAGAAAGCGTTTGATAGCCTCCCATCTTTTCATTGACATTGTGTCAGCCACACAATCCACTCTTGTCTTTGTGCTCCAAAACATTCGGGTGTGTGGCAGGCCATGTACAGACATGTGAAAGCATATGCCCAGGAACTGCTCCATCTCTTCAAATGTGACATTCAAGGGCATGGTTGGGTCACACTGGATGGCGTAGAGATTGCTCTGGAACACCATCTCTTCAATGATGTTTCTGCTCAGAAGACACCTGAAGTATTCAATGGGCTCCTTTACATTGCCAGCATGAGGGAGGCTGCCCTTCCATTCCGGAACAGCAGCAGTGCTCCTCTTTTTCCTCCATTTCAGGTTCTTCGTCTTTTGGAAGGGTGGGCACAGGGCAGCTCTAACTTCTTCTTGATCTAATAAAACATAATCAAACATACATTAATGTAACATGTAGGAAGCTATGGATGATTCGATGGATGATTCGATTTCTAGACCTCTTCTTTTACCTAACCCATGTCTCTTTTACCCCACCACTCTGTTCTTTTTCACCACCCCAAGTACAAACCTACACACACACACTCATGAACACACACACACACACACACACTCATGAACACGCACACTCACACAAACACACACTCACGAACACACACACTCACACACAATATTCTCTATAACAATAGACAGCCTTTCTGTACCTCTCTCTTCTGTTGTTGGCACGATTCCCTCTTCAGCCTCAAACTGCAGCTCTTCATCTGCTGAAAGGATTAAAAAAAATATTCAAAACAATACAGTGTTTGTGTTAACAGATAAAATACAGTAGGTCCAAATAAATATTATAATTAATAAATAACAAGTCTAACTCATCCAGATGCATCAGAATAATGTAGCTAACACTGTTTACTAGACTATACCTGTCCTGTCTGCCTCTGAGCTAACTTACCTGAAATGTCTCCATCACTGCTTTCATCAACTGTCCAATCCACATCATTCTCATGGTCACTAAATCCTATCTCATCCTCACTTTCATCTGCAGGAAGAGCCAGTTCTGTCCTTTTCTTCTTTACCTTGCCATAAAATATGGCTGTACTCACTGACATACTGTTACCTGTATTCATATCTAATCAAAAGTAATATTGCCATTTAAATTTGATTTTATCCATAATACAAATAGCATTAACATACGACTACACACACACACTCATGAACACACACACACACACTCATGAACACACACACTCATGAACACACACTCACAAACACACACAATCACTCACACACACACGCACACTCACACAAACACACACTCACTCACACACACACACACAATATTCTCTATAACAATAGACAGCCTTTCTGTACCTCTCTCTTCTGTTGTTGGCACGATTCCCTCTTCAGCCTCAAACTGCAGCTCTTCATCTGCTGAAAGGATTAAAAAAATATTCAAAACAATACAGTGTTTGTTTTAACAGATAAAATACAGTAGGTCCAATAAATATTATAATTAATAAATAACAAGTCTAACTCATCCAGATGCATCAGAATAATGTAGCTAACACTGTTTACTAGACTATACCTGTCCTGTCTGCCTCTGAGCTAACTTACCTGAAATGTCTCCATCACTGCTTTCATCAACTGTCCAATCCACATCATTCTCATGGTCACTAAATCCTATCTCATCCTCACTTTCATCTGCAGGAAGAGCCAGTTCTGTCCTTTTCTTCTTTACCTTGCCATAGAATATGGCTGTGCTCACTGACATACTGTTACCTGTATTCATATCTAATCAAAAGTAATATTGCCATTTAAATTAGATTTTATCCATAATACATTAATATTATTATTAATGTTGTTATTGTTACAGCTTAAAAGATCACTCCTGACCCTGCTAGCTAACTAAACTATTGCAATAATGGCATTCCACTACTGCACAGTGAACTAATTTAATAAAAACTTTTTTGAGTGGTGAATATGTCATCATAACTTACCGGAGGTGATGTTTCCGAATTTTTTGTGCTTGTGACACGGGCTGATCCTTGTTTGATAATTACGTTTTTGATATCTTTCAGAAACTACTGACAAGCGAAGGCAGTCAGTCAGAAATCGCGCCACAGAAAAAAACTGCATGTCATGTGACTTAACCAAAGCACATCATTGGCTAAACTAAGGTCTTCTCTTTCCAACAAAAAAAAAAAAAAACGAGAATGCTGAATTAAAGAGACAGTGGCAAGGAAATGAACACAAAGAGTACAGTATGTTGCCATATGGTCACACCATGCGGTAGAGGGTTAAATCGGTCTTATTAACATAGTGGCTGTGTTTATGCAATTAGCAATGAATCTTTAACCACAAGGCTACACCACCCTGATTTAATCTGCCTCTTTAGGCCATGCAACATGATGAAAAATAGCTATACAACAACACAAACAAACAAATAAATAAATAATGTCATGCATTATTATTTTTTAAGCCATTTTAAAGACTTCCTTGGCATAATTCACATGCTTGTGTTTTCTCTCTGACCCACAGACAGAAGATGTCCTCTATGCCTCCATTGACCACGGTAACATCAGTCCAAACAGACCTGTTCGAGACGTGGATGACAACGATTGTGATTATGCTGTTGTAAATCTCCCTCAAAACACAACAGACTCGGCCAAGCACAAAAGCTATGAGGACAGTACAGATGATTATGTGCTTATGGGTTGAGCACCGAGATGCTTCTGTGGCTGAAATCTGCACATTCAGTTGGAATGGACACCTGAGATACACAAGCACAACTTTAACGGCTTGTTAACTTTGTATAGGTTGCAATGATATTCCACTTTTTAAAATTGGTATTTATTTGTTTTTCTTTTCTTTTTTTATAATTATTTCATTTCAGGTCTGTTTTTGTCACTTTATGTTTACAGCATGAAGTAAAATATGTTTAAGACTTTTGATATTTTGAAGCATTATAAGTAATTACTACCTTCATCTACGTGCACAGTGAATAAAGTGCATATTATGTCTGTATTCCTGTATGTATATGTGTTCATGCAAAGAAAGAAGGTGTAACTTTTATTCTCGCTGTAGTATT